ACCAGAGCCTCTTGGCTTTTCACCTGCCTCTAATCACCTTGAGATATCCTAGCAAACAGCTGTCTGTGTCTTTCCTTCACCCTTTAGCTGCCCAAATATCAAATAAAAAAGGCGATGTTGAAATATAGCTTCATTTTCTGTTATTTTAAGCACGGCTGGCTTCCCACGCAGGTGCTGCCGCGGTGTGGGGAAACAAGCTCACTGCCAGGCTGACAGCTAGTGGGCAAGACAGATACAAACCAGGCATTCAAGCCATGAGAAGGGAATCTGTGGACAAAGGGGGAAAGGTTTCCAGGGACACTGCAGCTTACAAAGTTCTTTCTGAGAGGTCAGGAAGGGCTTTCCCAGGGAAGTGCCACTTGAGCAGAGAATGGAAGGATGCCTGTGTGGATGTAAGCAATGAAGGGAGAGAAGAGTGCTTCTGGCAGAGAAAATAGGGGGTTCAAAGGCCCTGTGGCGAAGGGCGCAAAGGAAGAATTGAGAGATGGCAGAAGAGCAGAGAGCAAGGGATTTTGTTGGGAGAAGGGTCTGGAAGAGCTTGCAGGGCCTTATGGGATGAATTGAGATTGAGTCTTTATCCTAAGCACAGTGGGGAGCTATTGAAAGGTTTGAGCTGAGTTGAAAGAAGGCAGAGCAGTCCAACCGTAGCTAGCCTGACCCTTGTGGATATGTTTGCAAAGTAGATTTCTAAAGCAGAGGTTCAGATGTCTGGTAACCATAGAGATGGCTGTGTAGACACAAAAATTATGATAATCAGAAAGCACAAACTTGAGAAACTGGGCATTATAAATAAGACTGGTTCTGGATGACTTTGCCCACTCTGGCCTGATGCAAGATGCTGGAAATCACATTATGCCAACATAAAAGGCCTAATGTTTGAAAAGGGTCCTGCTGTGTGCATGAATAAGCCTAGGACCAAGGACATGGGTGTCATAGCAACCCTTGTACCAGAGGGCCTCTCTGTGGTATTTAAACCAAGCCCCAGTGACTGTGGGGGATGGGCAGGGAGGAAAATGAGCAGGTGAAAAGCATCTTCCCTCCCCCAGGCAGGTTCATGGTGACCCAGGCAGGTTCAGGTTTCATTCTAATAGAAACTGGCGAGAGCCAACTCCCCATTCTAAGTGTGTGTGTGTGTGTGTGTGTGTGTGTGTGTGTGTGTGTGTGACTGAGGATTAATCACTAATCATAGGATCCTCAGACTGAGAAGGGGTCTTACAAAATTGCTCAGTTCAACTTGTGACCCTCCTGCCTCAGCTTCCCAGCATCCTGGGATTACAGGTGCATGCCACCACTCGCCCCATGCCCAGGCCTTCCTATTCTGAACACTGGGAAAGTTGGAACTCAAAAAAAGGACGTGGGTGGCTGGGTCACATAGAATGCCTGGCACTGCGGCTCCCTCTCCTGCAGCTCTGCCCTGCTCCATCCCTCCTGGTTTGCACAGCACCTCTCTCTCTGCTGACATGAGCCTGCCAGCTCCTCACTGGTCAGTTTCCTCTGCACAAAGGCCATCTGAGGCCAGTGTCCTGAAGGGGCATCCTGACGGGAAGAGGAGAGACTTCGACCTAATTTTCTCCCAACACAGAAAGCTGAGCAGGTGGAAGCATCTCTCTTCCTTTGCACGTTTTTGTATCTTCATGTGATGTGTGGAATTTGGTGGGCATCTTGTGACCATCAGAAAGGAGTAAGGATTCAAACATGTTGGGACAAAAAGATAAAAGGATATTGAGTCCTTGGTATCTTAAAGTTCCTGAAGGACACCTGGGACTCCTGCCTCTTGAAATGTTATGAGCTAATGAATGAATTTATTGTTTATACCATTTAAAATACCTAAGTACTTGATTAATTGCATTTTAAAATATCAAACTGTGGGAGAGTCTACTAGTTGTCCCCTCACATCCCTCCTTTCATATTTTCTTTTAGTATTAATACTACAAGGTTCTAGCACAGCCCACAGCTGCCCCACTACAGCCTACATTCCCCAGCTTCCTTTGCAGCTTCATGGGTCATGTGACTGGATTCTGGCCAATAGAATGTGAGAGGGAAGGGCTGCTTTGAATTTTGGGCCAATCTCTTAGTAACTCTTCCTGGCCCTCAGACCCCTTCTTACTGAGTGGAAAGGGACAAATAGAACAGACTCAGAGAAGGAAGCAACAGATCTGGACTGTTACACAGAAAACAAACAACTTTCATATATAAACATTTTTAGATTTATTTTTAAATCGTTTATGTGAAAGTGCTTTATCATGTCTGCTATATAGTAATCAAAACACACCCGGGGTGCTATCAGTCAGGTTTTTGTTGCAAACCACATAATGGGTTTCTGCAGTGAGAGGTGGTTTCAGTGTTCCCTCGGGATACCTGGCATGGGGAAGCCACTGCCCTCATGAGAAATAGTGGTTGGATACTAGGAATTAAATTATAATCACGATTGCATCAAGTACCCCATAAATAAGAATAGTGTCCATTTCTGGGGTGCTTATCATGTATCTGGCACAATTCTAGGTGCTTTATTTTCTGGTTCTTCATTAAATCTTCACAAAAGCCCTACAAGACAGATAATAACTTGCATTATTTTTTGTGGTAATAAGAACTGCGCTCAGGGCTGTCACACTTGGCCATATCTCTAGCCTTTTTTTATTTTTATTTTTTGTGATGGGGTCTCCCTGTGTTGCTCCGTTGCCTAGGCTGGCCTCAAATTTTCAGTCCCCTTGTTTCAGCCTCCCAGAGTTCTGGGATTACAGGCGTGCACCACAGTATCTGCAATATTAACTTACTTTATAAACGAGGAACCTAAAGCATAGGCAGGTTAAATAAATTGATCTTCCTCTCTTTTGTTTGGAACATTTGCATTCACTGTTCTCTCTGCCTGGATATTTCCCCAGGAATCAATTCACAGACTCAAATGTCCTGTGTGTGTGTGTGTGTGTGTGTGTGTGTGTGTGTGTGTGTGTGTGTTTGCAGTGTTAGTAGGAATCAAACCCAGGGCCTTTGAACACCTCCAGCCATTTTTTATATTGAAATAGGGTGTTGCTAGGCTTGACGTCTACTCTGGGCTTGAAGTTGCAGGCCTCCTGCCTCACCCTCCTGGGTGCTAAGATTACAAGTGTGCCCCACCATGCCTGAGTCAGATGTCTGTCACCTCTTCACTGAAACCTTCCCAACCACTTTATTTAACACTGTATCATTCCTCTCTTCCCCTCTACTATCCATGGGGTAGCCATTTAATACATTTAATACCAGGATGTTTTCAAGAATAAAAAGGGGGGTTATTAATAGTTATGCCAGAAGTACATGCAGTTAATAGTTATGTCAGGAGCCAGTGTCTGTGGCAAACCTGCACCTGTACCATCTTATTATTATGCCCTGTCTTTTCCTGTGAATTTTCCTTATTTGTTTATTGTCTATTTCCTCCTACTAGAATACAAATTCGATGAAGGTAGTAATAAATATTTTGTTTACTGCTGTGACCCTCTGGCATGTACAGAATAGTCACTCAGCAAATATTTGTTGAAATTTGTGAGTAAATGAATGAACAGGCACCTGGCCTGACATGCAGGAGCTGGGGAAGAGACTCCTCCTTTCCTCCGCTGCTTGGCTTTTCTGCCTGGAGACCTGCTGCCCATCCCGCAGCCCCTCAGCACCTCCCTTCAGCAAGAAGAGTCCTTTGGGGCTACACTACTGACTCTGCCCTTTCAGCTCCCAGACTGTTCCCAGCACTGGCTTGCTCAGCCCTATGAAGCTTCTGGTCTCTCTCCACCCCAACCCTGCCTAAGGTCTCTTTTTTCTGCGTGGTCTAACTGCCCTTCCACTCCTCCACCTCATTTAACCCAAAACCTGGGGGACTCTATGAGGGTAAAAATACAAAGAAATGAGGTGCACTTTGGATTGAAGAGAAAACTAACACAGACTGTTGGGAGGGTAGTTTGGCTGATGGGTCAGATTTTAAAGTGCTATGACTTAGAACATCATACAAAGCCATTGTAAAAATTGTTCCCAGACCCATTCATACACGTGTGCAAAACAAAACAAAACTAAAAACGAAACAAACTGTTTAATAACAGCCACAAGGAAGTGTTTTGTGTTTCTTCGCAGAAGAATGTGGTAGTTCTATATATACTAATGTAGAAAACTTGAGGACAAACTACTTACAGGCAGCAAAGCAAAAGGACACTGTGATCTCATTTATGTTGGGGGAAAAACTACAACTCTATGTGTGTAGATATTTGCAACATACTAAAAGTGTAGAAAGAAACTATATAATGGTCACTGGTGGCACAGACTGGTGAGGACAGGCAGTCTTTGAAGGGTGTGTGTAAAATTCTGTATTGTAAAAACCTGTTACAGCTTGTGGTAGTTTTGTAATGAAACAGAAGCAGTAAGTTAATTACTCCTGATTCAGCATAGGTTCTGACTCTGGAAAACTTTTGATTTCTCCTCTTCTCCCCCACAATCTCACCAATCCCATCGCCCTCTGTTTGTGTGTCTTCTCTGTAAAGTCGGATTTCACCCTCTAACCTTACTGCATTCAGTAAATGGCGGTACTATCCTAACACCTAAGACGCTGTAGGAAAAGTGGTTCACGGTTGGCTCTCTGATGCACGTTCACTCTTGGGACCCTGGAGTCGGCGGGGGACGAGTCCAAAAATGAGACTACGGGGTTGGGGGTGAAACTTTGCAGAAGCTAGACTCCTGAAAGGAGCATAGCCTTCCTGAACATTTTCCTGGAGAATCGCTGAAGCTTTCAAAAAAAGGCGAAACGCTGGGAGACAGCCTCCAAAGCCTGCCGCTATCAACTCGAGGGTTTTCAGAGAGCCCAGGACGGTGGAAATCGCTGCTTACCGAAAGCTTCCGAAAATTTACGAAGACAGACGAAAAGTTGGCCGGTGGGCTTTAAGAACGGGTCCGGAGAGGGACTGAATACTTCAAAAAGTGTCACTCTGGAGCCGGAACCACTTGTACAGGGTGGCAGGGTCGGAGGGGGAGCTATTGAGTGGTGGAAAGCGGAGAATTTCCGGAGCAAGCGGAAGCACTGCTGTCAGTTTTTTGAAAGAACGGAAAGACCGAACAACTGTACTGGCTCATGGCTGAGGCAAGTGAGAATCCCTCGGTGGAGGTCGAGGCGCTGGCCGCGGCCCGAGAGCGAAACAGCCGCTTCTTGGGCGGCCTGGAGCTGGTGAAGCAGGGCGCCGAAGCGCGCGTGTTCCGCGGCCTCTTCCTGGGCCGCGCAGCCGTGATAAAGCACCGCTTCCCCAAAGGTTACCGGCACCCGGCGCTGGAGGCGCGGCTCAGCCGGCGGCGGACCGTACAGGAGGCCCGGGCGCTGCTCCGCTGCCGCCGTGTAGGTGAGGCTCCCGGGCGCGGGGGACCTTGTGGCTCTGGGGCTGGGTGACGGCGGTGGGAGATTCTGAAGCGCTCCCTCCCTCCGATTGCCTTAATGTCTCCATATGTACTATCTGTCCTGGCCTTCGTTTGGGAAATGTCATCGATTTTTCCCTCTCGTTCATTGATTCTGTTTTTTGTATCGGGACTCGAACTCAGGACCTCGTGCTTGCCAGGCAAAGGCGGCACCGCTGAACTATATCCCCGGCATTAATTCTTTTTCTTTTCTTTTTTTTGGGACGGGGTCTCATTGTGCAGTTAAGGCTGGCCTTGAGCTTACTTTGTAGTCCAGGCTAGTCTCGAACTCGCAACGATCCTCCTGCCTTAGCCTCCCGAGTGCTGGGATTATAGGCATGTGCCACCACACCCAGCTCATTCAGTAATTCGTTTTTTGGGGGGCGGGAATACTGGGGATCGAAATCGTGACCTTCTGCTTGCCAGGCAGGCGCTTAATGCCACTGAGCTGTATCCGCAGCCCCCTCATTCATTAATTCTTAAGGCATGGATTTGCAGCAACAAGCTTTTGTCCTGGAGGCATTTCTCAGCTCTGCTATTGCTAGACGCATAGCATGATATTTAACCTCTCTGAGCTTCAGTTTTCCCATTTATACCATTTCGATTTTCCATCATTATTTCTTAATTTAGTAGTTTTAAGAAGCAGATAAACTGGATGTGGTGGCCCAGACTGTAAACTCACCACTCAGGAGGCTCAGATGGGAGGATCCAGAAGGCTTCTGAGTTTGAGGCCAGCCTGGTCTACATAACCAGACCTTGTCTCAAAAAACAAACAACAGAAAAGAAAAGAGGCAGATGTAATTATAGGTACCTGCCTTGAGGCCAGGCACTGCTTCATATATAGTTTTTCAAAAAGTTGTTTAACTTGTATGCCTCATTTCCTTACCAGTAAGATGGAAGTCATAGTAGAGGTGTCTATCTTAGAGATGTTGTGACCATGAACGAAAATATATGGGCCACATACAATATTTGAATGTATTCCTGACATGTAGCATTCAGTAAATGTCATTTTCATTAAAACACCCTTATGCTCTATCACCAAAAATCCTGTCCTCAGATGAGAAACTAATGCTCAACTAAGAGAAGTAATTTCCCCAGGGTTACATCGCTCTAACTCAGAAACATTAGCTTTTTGCTCTACACTTCTTGCCTTTTTTCATTAGGTTTTTCTTTTGCAGGGCTGGGGGCAGGGAAGCGTGGGCATCTGTACAGCAGGGCATTGTTAGCTGGCCCTGTAATCCTGAGGCCTGTCATCCCAGCACTAGGGAGGCTGAGGCAGGAGTATTGTTTCCAGTTGAAGATTTAACAAAGTTACTTGTGTTCAGATTTTTTTTTCACCTTCTCTGTGAAACAGAGTGGCTTCTTTGTTTACTGCTGAATCACCCATTGACATGACTCTAGTTTCTACAAAAGTGTCCTGGGCCTGACTGACATTCAGTAGAGATTCCTCAGGTTTGTGAGAGAAATTCTCACGTAATAGTGGCAGAGAGTGAGGCTGAGAGAAGTTAATGTAATCTGAGGTTACTCCTAGTAATGAAAGGAGCTGGGATTTTGAACCCCATCCTTTCTGAGAACAAAGATGAATCAGTAAGCCAGTATGCTGCTTGGCCTCTTGCTTGTAACCCTGTCAGATAGGAATTGCTCTGACTGGGCGATGCTTCTCTTCTGGCTTTCTTTGGTTTTGCGTTCTATGGAGTAAATATGATAAACTTCAGTCATTAAAGGTGTTCGGGAAAGAAGGAAGATTTGCAGGCCTTTAAATTTAGGCATAACTGGGCGCAGGCACAGGTTGCACAGCTTGGGCCAGGGAAACACCCAGATGAATTACCTCACTTTCTGAAACATTGTAAATCTCTCTTCTGAAGTGAGTAGTGTCTACTCAAATACTGGTTGAATCTTTGAATGTTAAATCTACCATTAAAAAGAAGAATTTGGCCTAATAACCACTTACATGTTGATTGCAGGGATATCTGCACCAGTTGTCTTTTTTGTGGACTATGCCTCTAACTGCTTATATATGGAAGAAATCGAAGGGGCACTGACGGTTCGCGATTATATTCAATCCACTATGGAGACTGAAAAGACTCCCGAAAGCCTCTTGGGCTTAGCCAAGAGAGTTGGGCAGGTTTTGGCTAGAATGCACGATGAAGACCTCATACACGGTGACCTCACCACCTCCAACATGCTCCTGAAGCCCCCTCTGGAACAGCTGAACATTGTGCTCATAGACTTCGGGCTGAGTTTCATTTCAGGACTTCCGGAAGATAAGGGAGTAGATCTCTACGTGCTAGAGAAAGCCTTCCTCAGCACCCACCCCAACACTGAGAGCGTGTTCAAAGCCTTTTTGAAGAGCTACTCCACCTCCTCCAAAAAGTCCAAGCCAGTACTAAAAAAACTAGATGAAGTGCGCTTGAGAGGAAGAAAGCGGTCCATGGTTGGGTAGAGGAATGTGTGCGACCGTCACGCGTAGTGAGGCTTTTTTCTGAGTAGATTTGAAATGTAAGTAAAGGAGCTGTGATATTTTAAGTGGTCTGTGATGATGCTTAAGTGTCAGTAGTTTACAATTCACTGCGGTCAGGAGTTTTTTATGCAAATGAGACATAGCCTAGGCAGAACTGGGCACTTACAGGAATCTGGGACAGGCTCTCCCATGTCATGATTATCCCTCTAACCCAGTGTTTTATTTCTGTAGTGTACATGATATATTTGACTGAAACCAGTTTTGGAAGACAGAATCAACATTTTAAAAATGAAATACAATCTAGAAAATACCAGTGTATTTTATGAAACTTGTAAAAGATCCAATCAAAAATACAATAGATTAAAAAAAAACTTTATTAAAGCTGGGTGTGGTGGTACACACCTGTAATCCCAGCACTTGGGCTGGGGCAGAAGGATTGCTTATGGTTCAAGGCCATCCTGGGTTACATCCTGAGTTCAAGGCCAGCCTTTACTACATTGTGAGACCCAGTCTCCAAAAACCAACAAAGACAGCAGCAACAATCTCCCTAACCCCACCCATCTTATTAAGGTAGAAAGACACATCGCCATTAATCCTTGTATAAATCCTTCCCCCCTCTTCCACACACTTTGGGAAGCAGCTCCGAGTTGTTTCTTCAGTGTCTAGTTGCACTGCCCTGGCTGCCATGTCAGTGTTTACCTTCATGGTCACTTTGACTTTGAAGAAGAGCCAGCAGTCACACGGTGCCAGATCTACCGAATCAGGTGGATGAGAACACAACCGAAATGTTTGCCTGACCCCCTTTCCCTTGAGGGCACCTGGCAGCAGTGTTTAGAGTGTTTTTCGTCATACCTTGCAAAGGCGGGAAAGAGGGTATCCAGGGCTGCTAAGAACGGGACCCAGGTAAGTAAGTGATGGGGAGGATTTCGAGAGGGATTAGTGGCAGTGTGTCTTTTACCGTAATAAAAACTTCAAACATCGACTGTGTAGTCTGAACACCCCTTGTGGATATGTGTGGGGTTTGTGGCATGTGTCTTTGAGGACCACGGTAAGATGAAAAGTGCTGTTTAAAGCCAATTGCTCTTTTTTTAAAAAAGCAGACTTCTCATGTTTTAAGATAACTTTGTTTTTGTTGCTCTGTGTTTTTATTATTACTTTCTAATTAAGAGTCATGATTGATATAAAATCCCTCTAAGTTTATGTAGGTAAAAAAGTGAGTTGGTTTTTATCACAGGCAGTAAACAGATCAAAAATAGTGAGAAGCTTGTGAATGAAGTTTGATAAAGTATTTTATTTATTTTTTTACTAGTACATGTTTGCTGTACATAAGGAAGCCTTACGTTCCTTGTGGGAAATTGGTACATGTACATAACACATCTTAATTCCTCTTTTTTATTTTTTTTTTTTCAAATGAAATCTGGTTTAAGGAGCAAGAAAACTGAGGATGCAAAGTACCAGTCACTGGCTTTTAACCTTGCCAACCAGTTTCTTTAGTTTCATTTATTTATTTTTTTTGTCTTTTTGAAATGGGGCCTCACTATGCAGTTCAGACTGGCCTTGGCCTCACTTTGCAGCCCAGGCTGGTCTCAGTCTTGGAACAGTCCTGCCTCAGGCTCCTGAGTACTGGGGTTACAGGAGTGTGCCTCCACACCCGGCTGGCCCGACCAATTTCCTTCCCCAAAAGGAAGTATGTGTATGTGTGTGGAGGGGGGTGGGGTAGATATTAGAAAAAATACTTCCCTTCTGTTACGCTCTATTTGGGAAATACATTTTTAGGTGCCCGGTACATTATTGGGTACTGAGTCCAGTAATGAGCAAGATGGACCAGTCCCTGCTTTGTGGAATGAGCATTCCGGTGGGACTGGGAGCGTATCTGTTTTTAGTCACCGTAGCCAGTGCTCACCCGAGAGCCCTGCGAGTGGCAGAAGGCTGGCAACGAATGGAAACTTCACATCCTGGGTTAAAAAATGAAACTGAAGCTGGCTGGTCCAGTGACAGTGGTAGCCTGGGCTGAAGCAGTGGTGAGCGTGTTGCAAGCTGCTTGGCATAGGGCCTGGCACTAGTGGGCCACAGTATGGCAGCCAGTGGCAGGGGGCAGTAGCAGCTGGGAAGGTGGGGCTGGAGGCTGGACGACCATGGTAAGCACCCCTGGGAGGAACACTGTCCCGTGCGGCCCTTGGCCTGTGAGGGGAGATGAAGGCCTAGCGGATGTTCTAGGTAAGCTGAGTTTCCCTCCCTTGTTCAGGGCCTCACAAAGGGCCAGGGAGCCCCCTGCAGTTCTAGAGTCCTGGGAACAGCTGTTCTATGCAGTGAGCCAACAGTGCTGGCAGCCAACGCGAAGGCTCACGGCACCCAACCAGGTGCGGGCTGACCACCGTTTTATGCATGAGGAAGAGTTCAGCAGTGAGAAATCTGTTGCAGGCCACAACAGTGACAGCTGGATTCCACCCCCGCCTTAACAGTAGCTAGCTGTATCCTGCAGTTACCCTGTTCCTCACGTGCACCAGCTCCCAGAGAAAGCACCCGAGGCATGGAGAAACCAAGTTCACTCACAGTTGCTCAGTGAGTGGCAGGTTAAGGGAGTGTGACCTGACACTGCACCGTGCCTCACACCAAGGGACACCACAGGGGTGCCCTAGTGGCCAGCCACAGGGCTAAGGGGCCAGCCCAGTCCGGGCTCCATGCGGGGCACGTTCTTGTTAAATGAGTCGAGCTGGCCCGTGCCCACTCGGTGCCCTGGCTGAGGGGTTTCAGGAAAGTTACATTCATGAAAGGGGCAGGGTAGCGGAGGGACAGGGTGCCCTCTGAGGTAACAAAGAGTAAAACCCAGCCCTGGTGCTGTTCTTTACAATAACAGGCAGGCACACAAAATGTTTGTCTTCATTATCGAGTTATTGGCGCACCCCTCCCCCCCAGTTTGCCCCCTAGGCCAATGCCTCTCCTGCCTCTCCGTAGTCCAGCCAAGATGTGACTGACCACTACGGCCTTTGTGGAGAAGCTAGTGTTCCTAGAAGGGTTGGCCCCAACTTTCTTTCTGGAAGTTTCCCCGATTAAATTTGGGGCACAGCAGCTCTGAAGAACCCTAACTCTTTTTTGCCACCAGAGGTCGCAAGTCCCTCGCCTGCTGTGCAGCGTTAAACAGGACGCTCCTTCCGCTTCCCTGTCTTCCTTGGCCTCCTTCTCTTCTTTCTTTGCCCCCACTCTTTCTTCCTCCTCTATTTTTCCTTCTTTCTCTACTTCCCTCTTTCCTGCCCAACTTCCTGCTTCCCGTCATTTCTCCCTTTCCTCGCTCCCTTGAATTCGTTCATTTATTCACTCAGCCACACCTTAGCTGAGCAGCTATCGCTGTGGGCGGGCCCTGGGCTACTCACTCTCAGTATGAGCGGGATGCAATGGGACGCCCACTTCCTGTCTTAAGTGTTCCGTCCATTTTCTCTCGTCTCCATGTATTGTTTCCCTAGGTGTTTAGTGAGTGCCTCACATCCACAGCTCTGTAGGATTCCGAATGGGAAAGGGTGACCCCCTGGAGCCTCCTGGGCTGCCGCACCGCTGTACCCGAAGGCTTTCTCACTGGTCGTCCTGCGTCTGCCCCAGCCCCCTGCCTTCTTCCTCACTCAGACAGGGGAGCCCTTCTAAGCCGGACTGTACCACCCTCCGTCCAGAAGCTTGATGGCTTCCCACCCGGTGCCCGCTTTTCTATATTTGTGTTGCACCAGTAAAGAGCTCGGCATATGTGACTAAATGCCACCGAGTTCCCCACTCCAGCTGCTCCCTGCCTCAGGCCCCGTAATGGAGCCTGGAGCATTGCAGCTGCCTCCTCATAGGTCTCCTCATGTCTGCGTTTGTCACCCCACTGCACCCCAACCTGTCTTCCCCCAAGGCAGTCTGGGAAATCCTGTGAAATCTCAGTTCGTGGCCTGTCCTACTGGACTCTCCAGCGGGCCCATCTGACTCAGGGCCAGGCTCTCCTGTTCCACCCCAGCACTTACCCTGTGGACCCCTTGCTGGCCACCCTCTTTAGTTCCCCCGAGTGACCCACCTTCCAACACGCACAGCTGTGCCCGTCTCAGAGCCTTCGTACTGCTGTTCTCTCCACCCGAACCCCATTTCCCCAGCTCTCTCAGGGCTGCCTCCTCGTTCCTGCTGGGTGACACTTCGGCCGAAAGCCCCCGCAAGGCCCCCTTCCCTACTCCATCAACATCAGTCACGGCCCCTGGGATCCTTGCACCCGCTTTCTCGCGTGCTTTCCATAAATGTCCTGCTGTAGGTCGTGGAGTCTGTGAAGAGGCTTTTTCAGGCCTCTGCTCCAGCCTTAGTTTTTAAAATAGGTCCTGGAACGCAGCAGGTGCTCCTCAAGCATTTACTGTGTGTGCGTGTGGTGTAGGGGGTGAAAGGGTTTTGGCCCAGGCCGGCCGGTAAAGCCAAGGAGCTCCTATCTCCCCCCACCCTTAGGAATTACCTCTGGCGCCAAACTAAGACCAATGGGCTACCTGTGCATCCCTAATGCCCCCTTGGGTTCCACCCCAGGCCGAGGCTACTTATGTGCCTCACTCCACGTGTTCCACGGAGAGATCGCGGGCCCGGGGTGGAGATGCTGTGCCCAGGGGGTCGGGGTGTCTCTCCCCGCATTCCCAAAATAAAGGTTATTTATATTTCATACTTCTTATCTTTTCAGCCGCTCTTCCTCCCCCCACAGTTCTATCAGGGGGCAGTACTGGAGACCGAGCCCAGGGCCTTCCAGCTGAGTCACATCCACAGCTCTTTTTTGATTTGGCCACAATGGGATTGAATGAAGTGGCGGGATTACAGGTGTGCTCCCCTGTGCCCAGTGTCCGTAAGTATGTACTGAATTGAGCTGAATTCTTTGTTACAAGGGCAGCCTGCTTGTCGGAGAGAATCAGTGCTGCATGTGAGGAAGCCGTCTTCCTGGTTACATACACACACACACACATTCCACCTACCCACAGTTTTCCCTACTGGAGGCAAAGCAGAGTGAGGTCCTGGCCAGTGGTTTAGAACAAAAAAACAGTCAGAACACCAGGAGTCTGATGCTGATCAAAGGCCC